CCCCTAGAGGTTTCTCTTTTAAGAAGATTGGAGAAGACAAAATTTCCCCTCCCAATTTAGATTTGAGTGGGGGCCTGTGAACAAACTGACCTTAAATAAACAGAGAAAAGCCAAAGCCTCCTCATGTGTGGAAAGACCCACAGGTCTGACTATACCAAACTTAACGAAAGAGTCGGCTTTGAAAAGCGGAAATGGCGTATTTACATAATCGTTTTTTGGACTGCCCTGGCACCCATACTTCGGGCCTCTGGGCAGGCGGCAGGTGTGGTGCTCTGATTTAGTCAGATAAGAAAGGTGCTGTGAGGATTTCTTCCTACATCTGCTGCTGGGATTTCAGTCCGAGGGAAGGAAGAATTAAGTTTAGGGAGCCCTAATATTTCCTATCTGGCAGAGGCAGCCAAATCCCAGCCCAGAAGCCTCCCCAAACACAAAGCTGAAAGCCATTGAGCACTGCCAAATGCCTTGGATGACTTATCTGTTCTGTGCAATAAATCACCCTCCGACACAGCCGTTCAAACAAACGGAAACCCGACATCCATCATCTCCCACAGCATCTGAGCAGCAGCAGTTTGGAAGTAGTTCAGTTGGGTGGCTCTGGCTTAGGGCTCCTCCTGGAGTCCTGGTCACGATATGGAGGAGGCTGACAGCATGTGAGGGCTTGGTGGGGCCAGAGGAGCTGCAGCCATGAGTCCCCACATGGTTGTTGACAGGAGGGGTCCACTCCTCGTCACACAGCCCCCCAAGGTGGCTGCAGGACCTCTCTCACACCATGGAAGCTGGCCTCCTCCACAGTGAGCATCTCAAGCAAGAGATTCAGGCAGATGCTATCTCTGAGCCAGGCTCCACCACACATCCCAGCCCGGCTGCTGGGTTTTATTGGTCATGCATCACGGAAGAGACGACACAGAGCTTAAAGACTAGGAGACAGGGCTCTGCTCTACCTTGAAGGCTGACAGCTCCAGCCTTCACTCTCCCTATGCCAGCCTGGCTCTGCCAGGAAAGCAGAGCCCCTCAGACTGGAAATCCTAGGGAGAGTGAGACTCGGGCCACCCTCTGCGGCTTCCACCTGCCTCACTGAACAACACACCCACTAAAACTGGGCCAGTCACCTTCAATGGTGGGGTTAAGGCACACGGAATAGCACAGATTCTGGGCCATTGGCATAGTGCTTCCTTGCGTGCACAAAGCCCTGGGTTTGATCCCCAGGACCACGTAGACTGGGCATGGTGGCTCATACCTGTAACCCTAGCACTAGGGATGTGGAGGTAAGAGGATTATCAGCCACATAGCCAGTTCAAGGCCATCCTGGACCACAGGAGACACTGTCTCAGGAAAATATCAAGGCTGGGAAATGAGACTTTCACACAGTCAGGAAATGTGCCACTATAAATGATGGTCCCGGCTTTCAACAGAGAGGACTGAGGGAACTGAGGCAATTCTGCTGGCTTCAAAGAGAAGGCAGCACCTAAGTTCTTACACCCAAGGCCCTTCCTGATCCCAAAGCCAGATATGTGAATGACTTCTGGCATCCGGTCCCCAAGCTATTCTGGCCTGGGCTGGAATCTGCTCTTCCTGCAGTGAGGTCATCCCCTGCTGTTCCTGTCCTATCGCTTTCATGAGTCTACCAGACTCACCCTGCACACCCCAGGTTTCCTGACCCTGCCAGAGGCGGTTCAGGTTAATGACAGGCCAAAATTATTATGAAGTGACAATCTGTGGGAAACTCTTGTCACCCATCAGTATCTCCAAGAACGCTGGACAGGGTCTCAAGGACACCTGGTGTCGGTGAGTAAAGCAAGCCAAGGCTCTACACTGAGACCAGTAATTCGGACAGAAGGGCAGACAAGGTCAAAGGTTGCAGAATGGAACCACAGGCTTTCCCCGGAGCTGCCCAAGGCCACCTCTCCCAACCCAATCCCCCCATAACTGCCTCTCTGGCTCCCCTGATCAGGCCCTGGCTGGAGCTTTCTCCTCTTGCCACACATTAACTATTAACTCGGCTTTTGTTTTGGTTTAGCATTCTGTTTGTGCTCACAGTAAACTGACCTCCCTGCTGGGGTCAACGAGCCTTATTTGGATAGACAGGACTCACGTTTTTTTACCTCTTCATTCCATGCCTGATCTCACATTACCCTTCTTCCCACAGAGGTCGTTGTATGATTTTTGTGTCCTACCAACCTGTTTGTTATTGGCATTCAAGCTTAACATGGGCGTTATAGGGGGCATGTTTAAACAGGTACATAAGTGGTGGACCCTCTCACTGCCCTCTCCAGCACAAGCTGTGCTCCAACATCGTGGAAGTAGAAGTCTGTCTACCAGAGTGTGCTTTTCGTCATTTGCATATAACAAGTATCCATTGATTCTCCTATTAATACATTTCTAGATGTTTCTAACTCACACACATCACAAACAACTCTGCAAATGGGCATCGGTCCCCGAGTCTCGCTAGGCCTTGCCGAGTGCCTGGGGACGCCCTGAGTGCCGCTGAGATGTGCCAACACCATTATTTCCCCAAGAGTCTCTTTTCTTCGTCTGTACCAGTGTTTGCCACCAGATCTCAAACACTGGCCGGTGTGGCAGGAGTACAGCCGCGCCCACACCGTACTCCATGCTCCTGGCTCTCCTCCCCCTCCCTTCCCGCCTCCTGGGACGAAGTGTCAGTGTGTCTGTCTTGGTTGTAGGCTTCTCATCAGGCTTGCAGTGCCAGATAGGAATTCTCTACCGTGAAGCAGGCCTCAAATCCAGTCAGAAAATGGTTCGTTACCCCATCACAGACCCCCACTGTTGTACCAGCAGGCTCGTCCTGCCCGGCTGGTTGGCATTATTACACACAGGGTCAACCACCGCGGCTGAGGAGGTCACAGGCCCTGGTGAGGAACCTACTGCTGTTTTGCCAAATGGATATGATGTGCCTGTCAGACTACCTTTTAAACGGTCATGTTCATGGCCCTATGTTAGCAGTGCCATCAGTCTAGGTCAGAAAAGTCCATTTTTTGCAATGATTAGAAATGGCTGCAGAGACCTGTAACTGGCCAATGTACCAAGAGGAATGATTGGTTGAATGCTCAACCATGAATGGATGATAAGATAAAAAGGAAAATTGTGGAATCTACTTTTAAATAAGATAAGTAATGAAAATTTTCTGTCTGAATTTGTCAAATGTTACTGGACTGGACATTGTTAATATATATAATGAAGTTTTTATCTAAATCTGTCAAATGTTAATGGACTAGACATCATTAATGTAATTCTTGACTGTATATATTGTATATACTTATTGGATAGTTTTTCTTGTATTAGTTATAAGCTTTTTTTAATTTTAGACAAAAAAGGGAAAATGTGGTGATATTGTGTTACCCAAAAAATATTGTGTACTCTAATAAACTTATCTGGGGTCAGAGAACAGAACAGCCACTAGACACTTAGGCTAGAAAATGGTGGCACTCACACCTTTAATCCTAGCACTCCAGAGGCAGAAATCCATCTGGGATCTCTGTGAGCTCAGGGCTTGGATACAGCCAAGCATGGTGACTCACGCCTTTAATCCCAGAGAGCCAGCCTTTAATCCCAGGGAGTGGTGGTAGAAAGCAGAAAGGTATATAAGGCATGAGGACCAGAAACTAGAAGCTTTTGGCTGGTTAAGCTTTCAGGCTTCTAGCAACAGTTCAGCTGAGAGCCCTTCGGATATGAGGACACAGAGGCTTCCAGTCTGAGGAAACAGGATCAGCTGAGAAGTTGGCCAGGTGAGGTTAACTGTGGCTTGTTCTGTCTCTCTGACCATCCAGCATTTCACCCCAATAACTGGCCCCGGGTTTGATTTTATTAATAAGAACTTTTAAAATTCCTGTTAAAAATGGGATATCAGTCTCACCTCCTCGAAGGCTTAGGGAACACTGTGGAAGGAGGGCCAGAGCCAGAGCGAGTCAGGGAGTGGTGTGGAATTTGACTTCCAGAGATGACATGGATGTCGTACTCTTGACCGCCCGGCATCTGTGATTACCCGCACAAGATTGGACTTGTCAACACTCTGCCCCCGAAGGGAAAGGGGCCGTGGGGCTCTACGCCTCACTGAAGATTTATGTGCCATTAGTGGTCTTTATTTAGTGGTGTAGCCACTGGTAAGAGGCCTGTGCTCCTGTAAACACACTGCCACTCATGACTTATTAGGTCACGCCCACACATACACAACAGTGTCAGTGTGTCACTCATGGCTTATTAGGTCACACACACACACACACACACACACACACACACACACACACACACGACAGTGTCAGCGTGTCCTGTTCTCACCGCCTCCTTGGAATTGATATGGTGGCAGAAACGGGACTAGGGAAGAAAAGCTTTCTAGCTTTGGAGTTTCAAAATCCTGGACCAGAACCAAAAAGGATCGACAGTACAGAAAACATGTCTAGAGGAAAAGCATCAAAAAGAAGCCATGACCAGCAGGGAGCTCCCCTTGCGGCCCCACTTGACCATGGCCAGCTGGCTGAAGGAGGATGTGAGAAGGGAAGCAGAGAAAGCTCTGTCAGGAGGACCGAGGTGGATGCACACCGGCTGCGGCCAGGGTCAAGGGCGAGCCAGGCCGCAGCCTGGGTGGGGGTGGGTCAGGCCTGCCCAGAGCACCTCTCTGTTCCAGCTCGTTATTGCAGTGTGGCAATCTGGCCTAATGTTTTCTGATCTTTCAATCTTTTCGCAAAAAATCCAAATTGAAATTTTATTTGGAAGCCCTCTTAAAAAAAATACTACTATGGAAAACTTCAAACATATTTAAAAATAAGCAAGGAGTACAAGGAACCTTGGTACCAACTCCCCAAGTTTCAGCGTGATCCACGGGAGTCAACGGCCCCACTGCAACACACCACTTCTCTGATCCTTGTTATCTTAGAGCCCAGACTCTTGTTTCCTTTGCAAAGTCAAGGACTCATGGGGGTTTGTTTTTGTTTGTTTGCTTTGTTTGTTTGTTTGCTTTGTTTAATTGCAGTTATTTTTTGGGAAGGGTGTGCTGTGGCTCATGTGTGGGAGTCAGTCGCTGGCCCCTGCCCCTGACGTGTGTCCAGGACCAAACTCAAGTTGTGAGCCGTGCACCATGGAGGACCGGGTGCCCTCACCTGCCAGGCCATCACTGAGCCCAGGACCCATCCCAGCATCCTCAGCACCTACTAACACAACAATAAAACTCTGATATCCTGGGTTTGTTCTTTAAAAAAGAAAAAAGACAAAACAACAGGAGCCTGAGTAGAGCTCCTAGCTAATCTGTTAACAGATTTTGTTTCTCATTCGGAACTGGGGGTGTATGTTTTTAGCAGAACAATTTTTACTATAACTGTTTGTTATTTTGTTAATCATTTCCTGGTTTTATATTTTAGTTTACTTTTCATGTTTTGTCATCTTTCTCCCATTGTCTCTTTTGCTTATTCATATCTTGTAACACATTTTTCAGTAGTAACAGGGAATTAACCTAAACCAAACAATGGCTTTTTTTCTATATTTAGCCCTGAATAATAACAGTCATGGTATCAGTCCTCTTCTAGGAGGGAAAGGGTGTCGCCCCTACTGTCTACCCATAAAGGCTAGGAATATTCAAATGAACTTTAAACGATCACATAATGGAAAAGACATTTCATAAGTGTTAAGAACTTTAAACATACACCACCTTGAAATATAGCTGTAAAATGCACACAGCACCCTGGAGGGGGGCGTTCGCTCAGTGGTCGGGAGTTTCCTCCCGAGTCACAGGAAGTCCCATAGGCAGCCTCCAGGGAAGCGGCTGTGGAGGACAAGGACTCTGGACTGCTCCTTCTGTGAGCGCTTCTTGTCTCGTTTCATACGGTGGCTGCTGTGTTCTCAGGCATTGATTCTGCATTCTAAGCACAAGAGAAGGAAGCCACATGCCAGCTGAATTAATCTTGAAGTTGAAAAACAGTAGCATTTCAGGAAACCCCACCCAACACCCTCCCTTTCAGGGGCCCTTTAGGCCTCAGCTAGGACACATGGCCACTTGTGGCTGAGAGAGAGGTTTGTTTGCTTGTTTATTTTTAGCCTGAGTGCCTTGCCATCCTGCACCAAATTAAAGTCATCACGAAGAGAGAAAGTCCAGACTGTATGAGGTAATAAATATATCACGGAGCGGCACCTGCCCCACACAGGGCGATAAGCTAGTGCTGTAGGCGGAATGTTGTGTGCCCCCCACCCCACCCCACCCCACCCCCGTGTGATGGTGCCTGGGGGTGGGGCCTTACCTGGGGACAGGTGGGCAAGACTCTCATGATGGACTTGGTGCCTTTATTAAGAGGAAAAGGAAGGGAAAGAGATCTCTTTATGAGCATGCCACAGAAACATGGATAGCAAGAAGGTCGCTGTTGACAAGGCAGGCAGCGGGAACCCCCGCCCCCCCCCACACACACACAGAACCCCACACCAGCCAGCACCTCACTCTTGATCTTTCCAGCCATAAAAACCAGGGAGAAACAAACATCTGTTGTTCAAGCAACCCAGTCTGCCACCATTTTGTTAGAGCAGACCAAGCTAAGTCAACCAGCACCAGCAACACACACACACACACACACACACACACACACACACACACACACACACAGGGAAAGCAGTGGAGTCAAGATGTGCAGAATATGAAAGCAGACAATGAGCCCAAACAGTGCCCTGGCTGCCTCACTGGGAACACTTACTTGACCTAACCTTCCTGGCCTGTGGATGCTTCCAAGGCAAGGGTAAGGCTTACCTTGTAGGAGATGGAGTTACATGGCCAGTCCACTGCAGTTGTTATTCATGTTTATTCAGGCCAGCACAGAGCTCAGGAGGGACACCTGCTCTGCTTAACATCAGCCCTTCTAAGTGACTGTGGTCTAAGTCTGTGAATGTCTCTGAAGGCCCACGTTGTGGCCAGCACTAGGAACATCCCAGTAGATGAGGGGGTGGGCTCTCTGCGGGGAACATGGGGGAAAGTGTCGCTGTCTACTGTTTCTCTTCCTTCTCTGTAACAGAATCTGATCCTGTGATGGCAGTATACCCAGCAAGAAGATAGCACCTCCCAGGGTTCCTTGCAACTGAGGCTGGTCATGTGTCCCACAAAGGATGCCCAGGAGATGTCTACAGAGATTATTCATAAGGCTTCCCCCTGCCCTTTCCTGTCCCAGGAGGGTAGACATGGCAGCTGAACTCTGGCAGTCACTCCCGAGACCAGCGGTGATGAAGGTTAGAAGCACCGTGGGACTCAGCCCTTGGCAGCCATGACAGCCCTTGGCAGCCTTCCTTCAGGAGCCTGAGAGAATAAACCCAAGCTACGGGACCACGTTTGCCCAGGACTTGGGCTGTACGCAGGCAATTCAAATCCTACCGAGTTCAGGGATCTTTGGCGAGGTTCACACTCTGCATCACCTCACTTCTCTGCCTGTTTACGCAAGCCCAAGGACCTGAGCTGGGTCCCCAGGAGTGTCCACAGGCTTGTACTTCCCGTGTTAGAGAGGCAGACACCCATGCATCCCTGGGGCTTGCTGGCCAGCCAGCCTAGCGTCCAGCAGTGGGTACTCTCCAAGTCCCAAAGAGAGATACTGACCTCAAAACACATGGTGAGCAGCTCCTGAGGAAGGATACCCGTGTGCGCGCACACACACACACACACATATGAACACTCAGGCACGTGTGAGTGCACACACACAAAGACAAACCCCAGAGAATTAGACAAATATTTTGATCAAAATCAAATGAAGATAGGCAGAGGTGATTTCCAGAGTCGTCGGTCACTCAGAGGGTCCCCTGACCACCTCAGTGCCGTTCCCACCTCACAGGGAGGAGACAGCACCCCAGAATGCCTCAGCTCTGAGGGCTGCTGGCAGAGAGTTCGTCAGGATTTCTGGAGGTTCCCATCCTAGCACAAACGCCAGGGAAGAACACATTGTTTTCCTTCCGTGACAGTCTCCCGGCCCTTCAAGGGGTCCCATGGTCCAGCCTAGCCACTAAGGGAGTATTTTCTTTTTCTGAAAACTTTTAGCTAAATAACTTTCCAAATTTCTCTCTCCCCAAATTTGTTAACTTCAGACTTCTATATTATAAAAAGTTTGTTCAAGCCGGGCGGTGGTGGTGCACGCCTTTAATCCCAGCACTCAGGAGGCAGAAGCAGGCGGATTCCTGTGAGTTCAAGCCCAGCCTGGTCTACAGAGTGAGTTCCAGGACAGCCAAGCCTACACAGAGAAACCCTGTCTCGGGAAAAAAAAAAAAAAAAAAAAAAAAAAAAAAAGTTTGTTCTTTTCACTCCCGTGTTCAAATGTTACTGGCCGCAGACTTTTGTGTTTTGCTCTCTGGTTTTCAATGTATCATCTGGTATCCCCTTACCAATTCTAATTTTATTGAATTGTGGATTCACTTCACAGATACCAACATTTGGTTTTCTTTACTGAGGCTCTTTAGCCCGTTTTTGTCTTTCCGAAGAAACATCTCCCACTCTCTTTACTGTGGTTTTTACTCTGCTTTGGGTTGTTGGCTCACTATTTTCCCAACATCTTAAGGTGAATGCTTTCTAAAATATTTTTTTTATCAACTACCAAAAAAGAGAAAAAGTTCAAATCATAAAGTTTCCTTCAAGTGCAGCTTTGAGGACATTCCAGAGGCCAGTGCGGCATGAACTGACCATGATTGTTTTCTGAGTAAACTTTTGTGTTCTTGACTTCCTTCCCAGGCCAATTGTTGATTCGGTGAGTACTTTTAAAGTTCCAAGTAGTTGGTTTATTTTTATTTGTTTTGGTTGTGATTTTATTTCACATCCTATGTTAGCCAGAGAATGTAGCACACTTTGTTCTCATTTAGAACTGACTGCAATTCTGTCTTCGACCTTGCAAGTGACACATGAGACCATAGGGTCCCTGCCACGCACGATGAAAATCTCACACAGTGTAAGACAGCCACCAGTTCTGTCTCTAAAGTACTCTTTGAGGCGGGGACAAGCTGAGAAGTATCCTTGAGGGTAGCCTGGGGGAGGCTGGTGTTGAGCTGGGGTTGTGGGCCCTCACTCTGTGTTGCTGAAGCAGAGACAGTACTTAATTGCTGCTGTGATTGGCTGGAGAAGAGAACAATGTCGGCAAAGTTCTGGAGAAGAAGTGACCAGAACCAGAAGGTTCTGCAGCTGATCTCACTAGTGAAGTCAAAGGCCAAATGTATTTGTTGGTGCATTTTGGAGGGTGGCCAGAGAGGAGCCAAGGAACAGGTTGTGTCTTTGTTTAAATCTACTATTCTGTGAATTGTTTCTGAGCTTTGAAAGGCATGGCCTGTGGAACAGTTCATTCAGTTTTTACATTCAAGATGTAAAAATATGCCTTGGCCCTGTTGTTTAATAAGAGGAATACACAAATAAAAAAAAATTCTAAGCCACATGTTCTCCATGGGGAGATAACTCTCCCAAGGTCACAAACCTGGCCTTTGAAGGGGCTAAAATGCTAACCGTGTATAGAAAGGGCAGCTGTATACATAGCACAAGGGTATGGATGCAGGGTCTCTGTACTCCAACTAAATGGAGGGCTGGAGACATGGCTCCACAGTTAAGAGCACTCATTAATTTGCAGAGGACCTGGACTCAGTTCCCAGCACCCACAAGGCAGTTCCAGTTTCAGGAAATCCAGAGCCCTCTTCCAGCTTCCAAGGGCTCCTACACACATGTGGTACATAGAAACTCACAAGCACACTCATAAACACATTAAGTAAAAAGCTAAATGGAGGGACAACTGAGAAAAAAGGCCTCATTGGGGAGCTGGATGTGTGATGTGCACCTGTAATTCCAGCACTGAGTGTGAGGATTAAGAGTTCAAGACCAGCCTCAACTACATAATTATTTTAATATCAGATTGGTTACATAAGAGCCTGTCTCAAAAATACCAAGGTGGCGGCGGAGCTTGTTAGAGAGGCAATAGTTTTAAAAAGATTAAATCCACCAATCCAGGGAATCCTTACATATGTATATAAGCCACTCCCAAACCTTACATTAAAATGAGCAAGATGGATGCCACGTGACAGGATGTACTGCTCCCTGAACACAGGCTTGCTTTACCCCAAGAATGATTGTAGGGTCTGACCCAGAGACAACAGTTAATGGTAACAAAGTATCACCCCCATCACTGAATTTAAAATGACAATGAGATGATGTCAACAGAGAGTGAAGAAGCCATTTCTCATTTTTAAAAAGAAATGGAGATATACCACAATAACCAACTTTAGAGCTCCTTAAAAGGGTGTGAGTTTACCTTCATACAAAGCAGACACATTGTAATTTAAACCAGAAACAGAGCAGGAAGAATAAGCCAGCTCCTCCTTCCCCATCCACTTGACCAGCTATGGGGACCCCTCATCCTCCTGACTCAGGACAGACAGAAATAGCATCTGTTTTGTTTATATCTAGAGACCAAGGTCAAGGTAGTAGTGGATTCTGTCTTCATAAGGGTCCTCTTCCAGCCTGCAGACCACCTGCTTCTCCTGTGTCCTGGGATGTCAGGGAGAATAAGGAAGCCCTGGGGACCTTTCCTAAGGACATTGACTGGATTGAGAACAGCCTAGAAGAGCCCATGTTGGAGTCTGTGAGAACATTTCCAGAGAGGATTCAGATCACCTAACAAATGATCTGCTCTACCAATGGTTTCAGCATTTGAGAAGACTGTTGGGAAGGGGTAGGACTGGGAATGGGAATCTCGGATGGAGGAAGTGGGTTACTGTGGGTGTGTCTTGTGGCTGCTTCCTGTTCGGCTTGTTTCCACTTCCTGTCTGCTCCTCCATGCCCTCCTGCCGTAATGGACTGAGCCCTCCGAAACTAAGGAAAATGGGCCTTTACTCCCTCAGGTTGTCGCTGTCAAGTCTTTGGTCACAGCGAGAGGAGAGAAACCAATACGGACACGGATTCCCTCCTCAAGCGCAGCATCCAACACTGCTCCAAGACGGACTGATTAGGGAGGTGAGGGTCTGAAGACGGACACACAGACCGGCTGCGAGCCGCAGACAGGGCTTGCTGGTGGCGAATCTGCCACCCTCCAGAAGCTTCATCATAAACTGAAGAGAGAGGCGGGGTTATCGGACATAGCTGAATGAGGAGTCGGGGTGGTTACATACAGATAAGCAGGATGCAGGTTATTAGATACAGCTGAACAGGGAGGCGGGTTCAGCTAGTCCCAGCAGGAGCCGTCTCCGGGCCATAAACCGGGGCAAGAAGGCTATGGTGATATGTTCTGAACACATTATCAACATCATCTACACATGGATCAGGAGAAGGCTTTCCTGTTTTCTCATGGGTTCAAGGCTATGGTCCCTGGTATGGCAAGTCCATGTCATACACCCCACTCAGGCCTTCACACACTCAGGGCATCTTCCACTCCCCGACATGGAGGACTCCACCTTCTTGCCCTGTTCTCAGTCCAATCACATTAAAGCTTGGGATGAGGCTCACAGACGTTCAGAACACTGGACTCTCCCTTCTGGATTCCCAAATCCTTATCTCTGCAATGATCTTGTTTCCAAATAAGGCCATATTCTTAATTACCGAGAATTAGGACTTCAACCTACAGTTTTCTGGGAACACAAGTCAACCCCCAACAGGTAACCTAGCAGCAGATTACAGCATCAGCAGCAGGGCCAGGGGAAAGGAGCCAAGGGAAGAAAACCCAGCCAAGATGATGTCTGGGGAACAGCCAACCTCACAATTCAAGAGGTCATCAACAGGACACATCTCCCACAATCACACTGAGCCCAGTGCAGTTGATTATTATGGCTGTCCTACTGAGCAGTCCTACTGAGCAGGACACCCCAAGACACCCCCCCAGGCTCTGGACTCCTACGCAGCCACCCACAATCAGAGTTAAACAGAGGTGTCTCGTCAACCTTGGGCCACAAGCTCCCAAGTGAACTGTGAGCAAATAGGAGAAAGGAGAGCTACCCTATAGCCTGAGTGAGGAGATGGACACCTGCCTGTATGATATGTGGGTCCCTCACGGGAAGACAAGTACTGGGGGTGCCACACAGACAGAAGAATGCCATTACAAAGCTGTTTGCCACATCCTGCACACCAGTGGTCTTCAGTGTGTAGAACATCCTCTAGAAATCTTAGCAGTGTAAATTCTTGACCCCACCCAGTACTATGAAGCCAGAAAACACAGTTGCAGGACCCGGTGAACTTTTCAGCAAGCAGCGGGGTTCCTTAGCTTTTCATTTCCCCTTTTTTACAGCTCAAAACAATGCTGCAATATTTAAAATGTACAATTCGGTTACTTTTGACATGAGTATATTACACACCTGTGAAATTACCACCACAGTCAAGATAACGCATAGATCCCTCACTCCTCATGTCCCCGTCCCTTCGTCTCCCCTCTCTCCTCCCCACACTGCCAGGGTGACCAGTCAACCCGGATCTATCTAGAAAGCAGTTTACACTTTTTACAGTTGTACATTCTTCTACATAAAATAACAAATCTCATGTTCAGCAACATGTAGTATGTGTCATGCATCTTTTATAGCCAAACAGTGTTCCACGATATAGAAATAAATATTTGTTCTTAACCATTTCTGTGCCGTTGGATTATTTCCCACTTGAGGATATTAGAAATAAAGAAGCAGCAGGCATTTGTGTCCATGTCTTGGTTTACATGCCTCCGTTTCTATTCACTGAATAGGATGGGACCAGATGGTGGGTGCAGGTTTATCTGTGAAAGAAATTGAAAAACTGGTTTTTTTTTTTTAATTATTCCCTTTCTATTTCTATTTTTTGGAGGCTGGAAAAATGGTTCTGTGGTTAAGGGCACTTGCTGCTCTGGTAGGGGATCCAGGTTCAGTTTCCAGCCAGCACCCACATGGTCAATAGTACCTATAACTACCTATAATTCCAGTTCCAGGGGAAATAATGCCTCTCTGACCTCAGTGGGCTCTTGTACACACATAATGCAAAAAGACACTCAGGCATATACACAACACACAAAATTAATCTTTTAAAGCATTTATTTATTTTATTTTATTTATTAATTTATTTATTTTTGGTTTTTCGAGACAGGGTTTCTCTTTGTAGTTTTGTGCCTTTCCTGGAACTCGCTCTGTAGACAAACCTGGCCTTGACTCACAGAGATCTGCCTGCCTCTGCCTCCTGAGTGCTGGGATTGAAGGCATGTGCCACCACCAC